CAATTTTGATTAAATCTAGTAAGGACGGAAAATCCTCTACAATATTGTCCAAATAACAGACCTTACCCTTTTTATAAACCTCATTTTCAAACCAGCCCCTATGATGTAATTCTAGAGTGCACATTCCATTGGTAGCTACAAAATTGAAACAACAATATGTTAATTTAAAGTCATAGTTTTGTTGTTAATGCTAAGGACAACAATTACTGAGTTGGGTGTGAAGCAGCAACCAAGAGACCACGGACATTTAAAAAAATATTCTGCAGTCAATGTAGCAAACGCCAAAGCGACATACAGGAAAACGATTCCTTTACCCTTACTTTAAGAATAAAACAACCAAAAAGCTGAACACAAACACAGAAAAATGAATCTTTTACACATAAAGAAACCACACTTCCAGACAAGGTCAACTCATCCATTTCCAAAAAATATATATATAAAATGCATTACAGAAGCCCTTACCATATTTGAGAGTCTTTCCACCCGAACGGAATTCGAACTCCATTATAAACAAGTAGTGAATTTCCCAAAATCCCCAAAGTCAAACCCTGACCCAAACTCTCAAATTCGAACTCCAAAATTAGCACTGAAATTACACACTAACTTCTCCAATTTAGCAACTCACACTACTACAACATTGACCAATTCAGCAACTTGCATAAGAATCCCTTTCAGTCCATGGTAATCGCCTAAAATGAGAAAAACATCGACCAAACTGTAGGTATTTTGCTTCTGAACGATAGAGCTTCTCAAAAAGTCATATATACCCTTCAAAACTCAGTCACGTGGCCATCACGTGATCAGAAGTGATGGAATCTGTCACAGATGGACCATCTTAATACAAAATAAAGAGTTTAAGGACGGTTCAAATGAAAATTTTAATTGATAGACCAAAATGATACTGGAGCAATAGTTGGGGGACCATTTCAGTCATTATTTCACATGATTAATTATTTTGTATTCTTGAGTCATTCTTGGTTACTCCCACATCTGTCTCCATCATTTGAGACATGTGAAAAAACAGAAATATAATAATCCAAGTAAAACACAAGAATAATCCAAGTAAAACATATCAGGGCTATTTGTAGCAATGGTCCCTCAACTACACTCGGAGTTACATTTTGGTCACTCAACTCAAATATTAGTTGCAGAGGTTACTCAATTGTCGGTGCATATTAAACAAAGGGTGGTGATCTTCCCACTCCCATTTTTGTCCATTTACACTCTTTTTGTATTTTAATAGTTTTTACTATAACAAAAAATAGAGTGTAAGTGGACAAAAGAAAAGTGGGAACATACAATTTCTAACAAAGGGAGTGTAAGTGGATTAAAAAAGGGATGGAAAAATCAGCTCTCTAAATAAAATGCTTTAGTTTGAATTTTAATAGAAAACTACAAGTGGTGTCTCGAAACTTAAATTAAGTGTAATATTTTATTGATTTGGGTTACAATTACAACATTATAATAAAATATTTTATTAAAAACTTACTGTTTATGTGTCAGCCACAGTAATTTAGGATTTTATTAATCATATTTAAATCAATAGTCAGAATTACATTCAATTAATAGTGAGTAGTATGCAAAATCATTGACCACCTATCTAAATGTCACGAAAACTAAATTAGTTACTTTGAAAAGGTGACTACTGCCCCTTGCTTTTTAGTGACAGTGCCTCCCTAATTGTAACCGTATAAACATCATCTCAAATCTACACCTCACAAAGAACTCAACACGTATTAAAGTAGCAAACAAATCAAACTAATAATCCAACTTAACAAACCCAAAAACCCACTTGATCGGAATTCGGGTTTTGTCAAGTCGATTCATTGGGTTGGCAAAATATATGCCTAATTGAAGTAATTTGAAAAGGCAGGTAGCTAGGATCCAAACCAGTTTGAGGTTGCTCTGCATATGTTCAAAATTCTCATATCATTCCATCTAGCTAGACATAAATCTCTACCAACTTCTCTCAGGCATGCAATTTTCTGTCGAGCAGTCATGTCTTTAATAGCCTAATTCACACCAAACACAGAAAGCCCAAAGCACTTTATATAACAAGAACATTGCAATAACAAGCTCAGCAGCAGCACATTAATCACTAGGGTTTGAGATGTCATTGCCTTATTTGTTCTTAGATTCTGAAGTCACGTCTCCAATTGCTCTTTCCCTTGCTTTCATTATTTTTATGTTTCTTGTCAAATTCATACTCAAAACCCACAACAAAAGTAGCGTCCCAGTCGTGCCTCTCCCTCCAGGGCCAAGCCCATGGCCAATTGTGGGTTGTTTGCCTGAAATGTGGAGGAACAGACCAGCGCACAGATGGATCCACAGCCTCATGAAAAAACTCAACACTGATATTGCCTGCATACGCCTAGGAAATGTCCATGTCATCCCAGTAACTTCACCAGAAATTGCCAGGGAATTTTTGAAGAAAAATGATGCAGTTTTCGCATCGAGACCCGTCACAATGGCCACTAAAACTTTAAGTAGCGGGTACTTGACCACAGTGGTTGGGCCTTGGGGAGACCAGTGGAGGAAAATGAGAAGGGTTTTGGTTGCTGAAGCGTTCAACCCGTCTAGGGTTCATTGGCTACTTGGTAAGAGAAACGAAGAAGCTGATAACCTGGTTAAGTTTCTGTATAACCAATGCTCAGCCAATCAAAATGGTGCAGTGGTGAATGTGAGAATTGCAGCCCAGTTTTACTCAGGAAGTATCATGAGAAAGATGATTTTCAACAGAACGTACTTTGGCAAAGGGAGGGAGGATGGAGGGCCTGGTGTTGAAGAAGAAGAACATGTCTCTGCGCTTCTTACTTTGCTTACTTATGCCTATGCATTCTGCGTATCTGATTATCTTCCTTGGCTTAGAGTTTTTGACATCGATGGGCACGAGAAAAAGGTAAGGAAGGCTATGAACATTGTCAAGAAGCATCAAGAGCCTATTGTGAATGAGAGGTTACAAGAATGGAGAGATGGCAAGAGGAATGAGCCTGATGACCTGCTTGATGTTTTCATCTCACTCAAAGATGCAAATGGACAACCCTTATTATCAGATGAAGAGATCAAAGCGCAAACCACGGTAAACAATTATAGTATATATTTATCTTATCGTAAATTTAGTAACATATAAAATACTTATATGTTATGTTGTCAGACTTTGAATCGAGATGAAACATGTTCATCATGGCATAAGTATATGTGGATGATATATTAAACACTACGTACACCCAATAAATGCTTCATTCTGAACCTAAAACGAATTTTTGGATGATGTTAAACATAAATATTAATAATAAAAAAAAAAAAAAAAAAAAAAAAAAAAAAAAAAAAAAAAATACCCAAAAATAATATATTGGGATGATCAGGAGCTGCAGCTCTCAACAGTGGACAGTCCATTCAATGTAGCAGAGTGGGCTCTAACAGAAATGCTCAACCAACCTGAGATGCTAAAAAAGGCAGAAGAGGAACTAGATAGGGTAGTGGGGAAAAAGACTCTTGTTCAAGAATCCCATGTCCCTCACCTCCCTTACATAAGGGCATGTGCAAAAGAAGTTATGAGGTTGCATCCAGTTGGACCATTCAACCTCCCCCACGTGTCCATCGCAGATGCTGAAGTGGCAGGCTACTTCATCCCAAAGGGCAGCAATGTCATCTTAAGCCGCTTAGAGCTCGGGCGCAACCCTAGAGTGTGGGAAGAGCCATTGAGATTCAACCCAGAACGCCATCTGAATAGAGCTGTTGACCAACAAGTTGACCTGGAAGAGAATGACCTGAGGTTCGTTTCCTTCTCTACTGGAAGGAGAGGCTGCATGGGCGTTGGGCTCGGCTCCACCATAGTTGTGATGCTCCTTGCAAGGCTCCTGCAAGGGTTTTCATGGAGCTTGCCGCCAGATGCGGACAAGATTGACTTCACTGAGGATCAGATTTACTTGAAGAAGGCTAGTCCTTTGCTTGCACAAGCCAAACCTCGCTTGCCTGCCTCTGTGTACCCAATATAACTGCGGGCTGAGATGTCGCTAGGCCTACTAAGATACTAGATTGGGCTTTGAGATTATACTGTGATGAAATAATATAAGCTTATGAGCTTCTTTCTTACAGCTGCTATCTGTATGTTTTCTTGCCCCTCTCCGTCCTCCATGATTCATGGAGTTAAGGGTTAGTTGTGAATCTGATATAGCATGGCTTGGCTCCTTAATCTAAAACGGTTGTTTAACGTGGTTTGGTTGTAATGTGAGAGGATTTAGAATTTTTAGAGAAAATAGTCTCCTTGTATTGATATATGTTGTCTCATTTGGTAAAAATATGTGTCTCAACAACACTAAGTCATACATGTATTAAAAAATTGTGTTAATTTAGGATCCATCGAAGCAAGGGCAAAAACACAATCATGCTTAGGATTAATAAACAAGTTAACCATATCAATCCAAATAATAACCCCATCACAATGACGACGATGCCCGTCGTTATTGAATAGATCCAACAAACTTCATCTCAGATTCTCAACTCTTCCACATTAGAATAAGGTTTCAATCCCTCTTGCAGAATCTATGCTACTAATACAGTAATATTAGCTCGAATAAAATTGTAAATTATAGAAAAGAGATTAAACACGTGCCATGTTAATATGCTTATGCGAACCTAACCAAAATATTTATCGAACTTCAAAATTTTATATATAAATGTTAGTTAGGCTAGTTGATCAAAATAGTATTCTAACTCTTTTATATTTGAGTTCGATCCCCTCCTAATAATCTAGACAATTTAAATGCTAACGCCTGCCGCACAAGACGATGAGATCGGGTTTTGAACTTTGAAACTTCCTTCCTGTCTGACAATGTGGCATGTTAACAAGTTAGCAACTAATTAAACGTCCGGTTGTTACACGTGGCCATCCACCACATGTGGCGTCAAACTCGCCTCCTTTCCCTTTCCTTTTTCCTTCTTTCGTGTCATTTCGTTCTTTTCTTCTCCGTTTCTCTCTCTGCAATTTCCTCTCTTCAATGGCTGAAACCTCGGCTGCTCTTTGCTTCTCACCCTTCTCTTCCTTCCCCTCCTTCTCTCGCGCCAAGGACTCATCTTTCTCTTCTCTCTCCGCCGCTTTCCCTCCCAAATCCCCAAATTCCCATCCTTGCCCCTCTCGCCCTCTCCGGTTTCGCGCCAATTCCTCCTCTGATTCGTCCAATTCCTTACCCGACGATCTCTTCGGCTTCTTTCCTTGGTCCAATGACTCCGGTAGGTACCCTTCTTTACATCATGTGCATTTATAAATAATAAAATATCATTTCCAAGAAATTGGCTTATTAATTTAACATTTAGCATTGTATGTGTTCTTTCACTGTTTTACTGTTTGATCTTTTGGGTTTCATTTTTTATATTTTTGGGTTTTCATGTTTGACAGAAATTGAATGGGTTGCTGAGGAGAGAGTCACATTGTTCACTACTGATGGGCTCGTTCAGATTGGAGGCTCCATGGTCCCTAGACGTGTCACTTCTTCAAATGTATGTTGATCTTAATTATTTTCTCTAAAGCATAAAGTTTCTTACTGTAGTAATCTGTCCCTGTTTTTATGTTGTATTTGACCCTTATGGGCTATAATATATTGCTTACAATGAGTAATTAGTATCAAAGTATGGTGTTTTTTAGGCCTAAATATTTTTCAATCTTCAGACTCCATGTTGAGTACTAAAGTTGTTTGTTAAATCATCTAGTTGAATGTTTATACTTGACAGAAGAAGCAAGGGAGGTCAAAGGCTAATCAAAGATTTCAGCGATTTCAGGAGAGTGATTACATGGATACAGAGCAGGGTTTGTGTCTAGGCGCTCTCTTTGATATTGCAGCAACAAATGTAAACAAACCTTTCCACTATTATTTCTATTGTTTAAGCTGCAATTTCGTTTTTACATGTTTTTTTTTTTTTTTTTTTTTTTTTTTTTTTTTTTTTCTCTGGGTGGGTGGGTGTGCTTTTGTCTTTGCTTGTGATGAATTGTGTAATTCTAGGGTCTTGATACGGGTAGGAAACTATGCATCTTTGGGTTTTGCCGTTCCATTGAGATGCTAAGCGATGTTGTAGAAGACACTGTGCTGGAACATGGTGGTGAGGTATGCCATATTTCCATGTCACAAATGTTTACCGTTTAACTCTTATTTCCCATCAGAATTATTTCATTGTGTTGAATATTGTTGAGGACCAAAGGAACATTTTTGTTCTCGATACCCTGTCTCCCTCCTAGCCTTATGGTTTTACTATAAGAAAGTCATTTGATAAGACAATTGAGTCTCCAAAAACTTATTCATGTTTTATGGTCTAAGAGCTGCAATGAAACCATGCCAAAGGATATATTTATTTCTTGTGGGGTTATATTGAATTCTCAATTCTCTATGTATATGTTGCATGTATCATTTCTACTAATTGCTTAGTATTATTAATTTTCAATTCAAGTAGTGGAAATAGAGTTTTGATCGGAACGACGGTAGATTCAATTTGTTAATCAAAACTGTATTAGGCCTTGTCTTGTCTAATAAATTGCACTTTGAAATTTTCATTGCAAACATATGCATATGGTCCATTGACAATTGTCCAGTAATGGGCCTGGTAGGGGTTATCACCATCCATGCTGGCTGGAGCAGAGTAAATTTTACAGATTTATTTAAATCCTTAGATTGTCTTCTTGGGAAGATATTTAGTTTATGTAAAAGATGTCTAAATTTGCTGATTTGGAAAGTTCATCGCTTAGATATTTGGAACCCAAGTACGTACAGTCCCTTACTGGAGATGGGTCTCCAGAGGTGGAACCATACAAGTTTTGTGGCAAGCCAGCTTGCTCTTTTCCTGTTGCCATTCTGAGTGGAGGTAGGGCTGAAAGAGAGCGATGAAACTTGCCAATAAAGCTAGTTCCCATTAGTACAAGATAACAGTCCTTGATGGTTGTAAGTTAGATGGAATGCTAAGAGTTTCAAGTCAGGGAGATCAATACTGCAATAGTCACCACTCAAGAAACTCCTTGTCTGGGGGTCAATCCTTCAAAGTGAAGCTTTGTGACTATGGAAGATCCACCTACAAAAGGGCTTCTTGAACTACTAACAAAGCTAGTCTCATGAACTGAACTAGCCACTGCTTGACAAGGAGAGGAAGATGGGAACACTTCAATAATGCCAGGATAGGAAAAAAGAGAGATGAGAACACAGAAGGATTGGGGACAATAAAAGAAAAGGAACAAGTGAAAGACATATAGAATTAGGGTAGATGTTGTTTGAACAGGTTAAATGGTTCCACACAAAAAACAAAACAAAAAGATGAAATGGTTACCTTTAGTAGCAGGGGATGGAGCAAGCATTCTGCATACCATAGGAAAGAGGTCATTCCAGTTGGCACATTTCTCCCCTCCTGGTCTGGTCACTGTATCTTGCTTCATAGACAGTTATTTTGCACGTTTGATATCGTGGCTAGTTTACATGTATCTCGTAGTTAGCTGAGATTTTTTTATGCATGCCTGAACTCTGAAGACTGGTGTCGTGGATAAGCTTTTGTTTATTAATATACCTTTTATGTTGTCAAATTCAGGTTGTTGCTGCAGAGAAAGCGATGAAAGGTGGGTTGCATGAAAAGCTAAGAATGACGGTTGCAGTGCCATTACTCTGGGGGGTTCCTCCTGCTTCTGAAACACTTCACCTTGCTGTGAAGAGTGGTGGAGGAATTGTAGAGAAAGTTTATTGGCAATGGGATTTCTTGTAAAGCTAAGATTACACCACCCCTTCCTAACCATTATTTGTGCATGTTGTACATAAAATTGCTGTAATATCCCCATGTACAATACCCAATCGTTGTATCTTATCGGTGTCGCCAAGTGTCATTATCTTATTGATTACTTGATGTTTACTCTTCCATTTGTCCAAATAATTTAACCTTTCCATCAGGAGGCTTAGCAGTAAATTTTAGAGACTGAAATGTGATCATAGAGCCCTAAGAAGGAGGAATTAGCAATGTTGAAGTCCCTATACAGATGGGGGACCAATTTTCAGTTTTGCATTAATTTTGTTTTTGGACCGATTGTCTGCTGCCAAGTTCACTGCACTAAGAAGAATTGAAAAGCAGCCAAATTTGAAATCATTATTTCTTGGTCCAGGGCAATTTGGCTTTTTCTATGAACTGAGAGCCACTGGGGGCCTTCATCTTTAATTCCTGTACTTAGAGGACATGGCTTGCTCTGGATCAACGACCGTTTTAGCACTTTACTCATGAAGGTCAATGCAGTTTTATTCTTCCAACTTTTCTTCTGATCTCCAGAAAAGTTTTCTTTTAGGATGAAAGTACTGAAAGCTCTGTGTTTGGGAAAAGGGAAAGGAACAAAAGAGAACATACCCCACTTAATCTTCTCACCTTTTATTGAGATTCAATTTGAACTTTTTCATTGAAAATATTAATTGAAAATTTTTGCCCCCTTAAAAAAATATTGTGTGGTTGTATGTGTTATTGAAGATTAATCATAGTTATTATGTACTTCAAAATTTCAACATTGTCTTTGATTTTTTTTCTTCTTATTTTGGGGATGAATAGGTATCTCGAGCAATACGTATAATCGCCGAGATTAGACTGCTAAAATCTGCGTGATTAGCTAAAATCTTGAGTCATTAAAAATAAAAACAAAAAAATTCTTGAGTAATTGGCCAAACAAAGGTCAAGATAAGAACTGATTGGAGGAGAATTATGATTAGTAGATTTGCAATATCTATTTGCCTATGGACAACAGGCTGGTCATAAGCCACACATATCTATTTGCTTACAAACATCCAAAAGTCCATTCTGCACAGCAAAATTTGGCAAAAAGTTGCTTAGAAACTTCATGGGTCATTTGGTGCCACAAACTTTTACCTTTTTCACTCCACTAGAAAAGACATTCCTAATAAGAAACCTTTCCCCATTGCTTTAAAGACAATTTATAAATTTTCTAATATCCATTTTATATAATGCCTATAGCTGGCAAAACCCATTAGTCTAATCTATTAGCAGAAAGCAGACAAAATATGTTGAAGAGGTCAATGGAATGCATTTATCTTCAATCTTTGCTATCTGTCTTTCTTGTGGAAAACAAAACAGCAAAACACATCAAACTTCCCTGGCATTTCAAATGGGTTCAGTTTTCCTCTTGAGAATCTCTGTTGTGTTCCCCTTTTTTTGCTCTCTTTTTTATGGTTTTAAATTCAAGCATGCATCTTTCCTCTCACTACCTCCTAAGTCTCCATCAAGAGTGTAATCAATTATTGACGGCCAACCTTACATGCTATATGCTGCTTAACTGCAGGCTCTGATTTAAAAAATCCCAGTTTTAAATTGTGTTAATATAATTTATGTTTGAGCCTCAAACCCATGCCACAATCAGCGCTAGTTCCAAGGCCTCTAAAGACAAAATAGTGTTCCTATTTGCTCCCATGCCCAAATATCTGACCATGCTTGCCACATGCAATGGTTCCGCAAGAGAAAAACTTAGTTGCAATGAGGATATCGGTGTTTTGTTATTTTCAACTAATAATGATCTGTTATGTGGAAATGTTATCACGCGTATTATAGTGTTATTGACCAATAATTGGCAGGAAAAGAGAAGAAAGGGGTGACAAGGAGAGAGAAAGTAGAGGAAGAGAGAGAATAAATTGATTTCTTTTTCATATAAGATGTAAAAATATATGGAAGATGGGAATTATAAATTTATTGGCTAAAATAATGGGAAATAGATAAAACTATAAAATAGTGAGCACTAGTTTATCAACCATGACAAATTATCATGTTACGTGTGCCATTGGCGGTGCATAAACAAGGCCCTGATGTAACTGATGACGCCAATGAGATGTCTGTTTTGGCATAATATGCCTGCCTTCAATTCTATAATATTGTTGCTTCTATAATTTATTCAGACTGAGATTGGGATTAACATCAAGTCATTTAAAAAAATAAAAAATAAAAAATAAAAAACTCAAAAACAGAAAAACTCTGAGATGATAATATCCATAAAAGATCTAAGGACCAGATTCAAGTTGAATTTTTTAAGACCATGAAGAAGAAGAAAAGAAAGGACTCAAAAAAGGATACTTGGCCATTAAGATTGCAGGTTTCAGTCTTAAAAGATGATGGGTTTTTTTTCTCTCTGATTAATGGTAGTGCAGTTAAACTGTACTTACATACATACATCATTTCCCAAAAAGAAATGCACAAAGGAAACTTTTTTACCATGTACTGTCAAGAAAGTGCACCCATTATCAGAAACATTTTAACCCCTCCACCCAAAACCCAGTCCAAATCTGAATATCTTCAACCCATCCCTTCCTCCACTTCTTCAAATCTTTTTGATTTTACTCACAGTCAGCATCAGTAGTACATCATGGCCTTTTCCTCTGTCTTGTTTTCATCAAACAAAAAGTTGTTGCAACTACTGGTACTGCTAATTAACTGCTTAATTTCTTCAAGGCCATAATCTAATGGGGCTTGATCTTCCCAAATCCCATTGCCATTCTGCTTCTCTGATCTCCACCCATTAAGCCCATCTGGTAGCATGATTTTCTGGTGTCCTTCCCCACCATTGAAGAAATTGTAATTATATTCATACTCTCTGTCTCTGCACTGGCTGATCTGGTTGCTGCAACTCCCATCAGAAGAGCTGCAACTTGCTTCACCCCCAAACATCAAGATGTTATCTTTGACTTGGTAATTATGCTGCATGGCTCTACCCACAAACCTCTCTTGGTGCACTTGATGAAGAGCAGAAGCAGCATTAGTTGAACTTCTGCTCAGAAGACTTGGTGAAAATGAAATGGGCTCCAAAGCACTAGAGAAAGACCTGGTTTGTGCATAATAAGCAGTGCTGTTGTTGCTGCCTCTGTATGATGATGGTGAAGATGATGATAATGAAGCTTGAAGATGAAGAAGAGATGAGAAGGTGCCTGAGTGGGATTTTATGTGGGATGGAAGAATATTTAATCCCATGAGTTTCTTCTTGAGCTTGGTGTTCCAGTAGTTCTTGATATCATTGTCAGTCCTGCCTGGTAACTGAGCTGCTATTATGGACCACCTGCACATTGATGTGGTTAAGTTCCATGAGAAGAAATGTGACTGAGCACAAGAAACTGTTACTGCATATTATCATAAAAGATCTAAACTTGGCATGCAAGCAATGAACTGAAGAAATTAAAATGTATCTTCACATGGTATATTTTCTTTGTACATGTAACTTTTCTTCTGTCCCAAACACTCTTTTTTTCTTTATAGATGATGTGAGAGAACAAACATTGAAAACCCAGGTGGGGAAAATGGTAAAGAACTGGACCCAGAAATATATGAAGGAAAAAGAGAAAATTGAAGGGGGGAAAGGGCATATTTGACAAAAAAAAAGGGTGAGAAATTATAAGGTACCTGCTTCCAATGTTAGTAAAGAGGTTGCAGATGATCCTGTCTTCTTCATCAGAAAATTCTCCATGTTTGATGTTGGGGCGCAGATAGTTAAGCCATCTTAATCTGCAACTCTTCCCACATCTCCTAAGACCTGCAGTTGAAAACAACCAAAAGCCATTCGGTAATTATCACAAACTGACTGTAGACTATAGGGACAAAACCAGAAAAGGATGGAAAGAAACCATACGAACACATATGATCAAAATGATTACATGTTCAAAATAAGCAAAATGAAAAATGAAAATCTTACCAGCTTTCTGTGGAAGAGCAATCCAATTTCCTCCAGTCCCATATTTTTCTATGTACTCTTTTAGCTTTGCATCTTCTTCAGGTGACCATGGTCCTTTCTTCACATTTGCCTTGTCACAACAAGGAGCTCTCCCCATATCTCTGTCTCTCTGTCTTTCTCTCTCTCTGTCTCTCTCTCTCTCCGTTCTCTGCTTCTGATCTCTGCCTGCTGCTGAGTGACCAAGAGAACAGAAGAAGACCCTTTCAAATAAGCTTGTGGTGAATACTTTGTGTGGAAGTTGATGAAGGACTTTTGGTGACTGCTGGGGATATTATTTATTGAGGGAGAGCACAAGTCAAAGGACAGGCTCTCTAATTTCAATCATCACAACTTTTTCTAACCCCTCTTTGTGTTTGATTAGGAATGAGAGCCTATAAGGCCTAGTAGCCTATCAGAACTTTCCATCATAAACAAATAGAGTAATAATAGGCCTTCCTCTCCCAAGTCTACCCCCCTTACTTGGTCCCTTTCTTCTCCAACACCACAAAGAATCCAAAGCCTTTAGCCTGCTCAGTGCTGATGGGATATAAAATAATGGCTCTGCACAAAACAATGTATCATTTATTTTTGTCAAAATTAGGAAGGGAGAAGGAGTTTTTGCACACATACTACAAATGTGTCATGTTGTGGTTCGAACATGAAACCACAATATATTATTTATTTTATGTGTAACAAAATGTATATATGCATAAAATAACTAAATATAACATTTATACAGGTATTTTTGTGCTGTCTTTATAGTTTTGTAAATTACACAATACTCATTATTATGAGATAACATGCAACTGAAAGCAATGGTCTTTTTTTTTCTTTTTTTTTGAAATATAATTCATTCATAGAATCAAAGATGTAAAAAGAAAGACATGATACAGTGGTCTCATTAAAACCTTCTTAGGACAACCTCATGTGACAAACCCCAAGGGAGGAAAGATTATCACACATGTCATAGACTAACAAGAGAGTCCGATTATGGTCACTTTGGACCATTACAATAAAAGAACAAATCAAAAACAAAAACTAACACATAGACCTCTGACGAGAACCGCAACTATAGACCAACATAGTAGACCCACATGAGAGGACAACAGAACATCCCAACTGTCAAAAAAAGCCTTCTATGAGCAAAATTATAGTCCTTTGACACCCACACAAACTGCAAGGCATACCATAGCAGAAACCAGGTGAGAATACGTAAGAGGAACACATAACCCCTGAGAAGCATTCTACTTTAACTCAGAACTGGACAAAGAAAACCTCTTATGACCAAGCACAGTTCTTTGGTTGGCGCATAGGAGAGAAGAGCACCACATCCCAACAACTACTACCAGCGTCGCTGCTATTGTCGTCGTTGAAACAGAGACAAAACATCAGCTACCATGTATCGCAACTTTCCCTAGGAAAGACATAATATAGCGTCACTACATAAACAACAATAAAAGGACCCCTGAGAGACACAATTTAGCATCACTACTGTCGCCGCCATTAAGACAAAGACAACACCAACCACCTAGAACACTGCAAAAACAATCAAACAAAACAAACAACAAACAACAAACACATCTAGATTATCTGGGGAGGGAAGGGGAGGAGAAGAGGGGATAAGAGAAAGGGAAAAGATAGGGAGATGAGGAGAGGAAGGGGAAGATGGGCGGAGGGGCAGTGGCCACCCCCCTCCCCCCTTTCTCTTAGCTTCCTTGCGGTTGGTTGTCGGCAAGGAGAAAGGGGGCCAAAGTGTGGCTAGGGTTTTTTTTTAATGAAAACAATGGCCTATTGCTTTGATAATTTTCAAGCCAAGTGCCAAGTCATTATTGGTGAACTTATTTGCAGTTTTTGAAGTCCAATATGCTACCAAGCATTTATTAATGTTGCTGAAAGTCAATCATAAATTACCAAAATAATTACAAAAGAAAAATGAAGGGGAAAAGGAAGAGATAAATATCATTTTCATTATAAATATATATTTTTTTTTAAAGGATTTTTGGGGTGTGAATGATCGACCAGTGGCAAAATGAGTATGACATAATTCACCCTGACCCATAATTTTTTTTAACTTTTTTTATCAATCAGAAAAATAGCTCAAAGAATTTCGATGTTTCATGGCAAAATTCACGTATCTTCGATAGTGGTTTCAACTTTGAACTTCATGTGGTAATGACAAACTTTATTTGGTAGAACAAAAACTTACTAGAATTAATAGTCAATTTGTTGTGGCCAACACTTGGAGAAATATAAATTTTTCTAGAATTCCTTTGAGGTCGTTCACTCAAACTTTAGAAAGACCAAAAAATAGTTATATATACTTCATCTATATATCTATATATATAAAGAAAAAGGTAGATAATGGTGAAACATTCAAACTACTAGAATATGTCCTTGGTTAATTCAAACATTAAGAATTAAAATTATTAATTAAATGAGGATAATATGATAAATTCACATTTTTTTCATATTAAAAAATTAAAATTAAAAACAAAATCAGATAATATGTCATACTTTTATGGAACATAACTACCCATATTTAAGAATTGAAATTATTAATTAAATGAGGATAATATGGTAAATTCACACTTTTTCATATTTAAAAAAATTAAAAGAAAAATCAAATCATGGATCCTATTTTTATGGAATACAACTACCTATTATCTTTTTTTAATTCTAAAATAAAATTTTAAATTATTATAAATTTAAAAATTTTTAAAATTTAAAAAAAAACCTCTAGCAGGTGCTGAAGCACGTGTAGAGAGGCTAGTATATACTAAGTACTAGTAATTAATTAATGGTTAAAAATTTGACCAAAGATCCCTTGCAAAAGAAGAGAGTGACCATTGTGACCAATGGGGTACTACTTTGGATGTCTTCTTACAACCCTTCGATTGGTCGAGAGTTAAGAAAAATTTAGGAATGCTTAGAGAAATGGAAAGAGCACATAATCAAATTTCTTTTTTACTCTTGAATAAACATTACCTTTAAATGATGTTGCAAGTGTGTGCCTTTTATAGTGAGTCTAGAGGAGTTGTATCCTTAAAACTTGACCCTTTGGCTTAGGAGAAGTGAGGTGCATGAGGTTGTTTAATCTTAAGATTGTTCAAAATTCAACCAAACAGAAAAAATGGACCAATCTAATCCAATTGAAAGTTTTATTCAATTCGAGAGAAGGGTGTGAAATATGAAAAATTGACTTAATTGGATTAGATATCGATTTTAAAAATGTCATTTTGGAGAAGAGGATTTTGTCTGAAAATTAGGTATGTAGCAATTTCTTCCCCAATTATACAAGCAAATTACCGAAGGAAATATACAAGCAAATTACTGAAGGAAATATGTCTCAACTTTTTTCTTCTTTTTTTTAATTTTTTTTAAAAAAAAGTTGAGACACCATGTAGCCTATAAATGAATGTGAGTCGGTCATATTTGGCATACTACTTAATGTTCTTCCCGAGGACCTTAGACAAAGTCATAGCTTGTGAATTCTTTTAGTATTAAAAAAAGCTTCACGAAAGCTTCAATTTTCCAAAACCATGTACTGAATTTTCTCCATTTTCCATCAGCAATAAGTCCTTTTGTGGTTAGGGTTCCGTAGAATATAGAGATTAGTCCCCAAAATTTCAACCTTGGTAAATTTATTTTGTGCAATGTGACTCTTGGTCCATCACATTTTCATGTATTTTAATTGATGTTCATATTAATATGGACGGTCGCTAAGTCATAGCTAGGGCAAGAAAATTCACAATATTGTATCTTAGAATGGTCCCATGTTGCAAGGTAAGGAGAATTAAGTAAAAGCTATCTAAAGTCTAAACTTTAGAAATATTTAGACATATACCCATTTTTAGCACTAAAACTATAAATAAACCTTACACCATTTAATTTTATATAAACATACAAAAAAAAAAAAAAAAAAAAAAAAAAAAAAAAAAAAAAAAAAAAAAAAAAATGGCATCTGGATCTGAATTTAATTTTGATTATTAAATTACTTTGATGCCCTATTGAGTGTTTTGGGCTTTTTAATGAGGTTTTGGGGTTGGGTTTGTTTTAAGAAATCAATGACAGTTTTGTAATTTAAAAAAGATTAAAAGCCTTTTTGTTATATTGTAAATGAGTTTTTGGTGTGTTTCTAAAGTCCATTTTATATAGGGTTTTTATTTTATTTTATAATTTGGCCTCTTATATTGGATATAATAATGAATCTCCTTAAACCTTTTCCCTTGCCATAAAAGCAGGATGTATAAATGAACTTTGGCCTTTCAGGAAGGGCTTTTGTAATCGTGCTATAATTGGCTTCCTTTTGCTTTATTTAAAATTTATCGTCCTTTCCACTGAAGAAAGATAAGTGTCTGTTAGGAATTAAATTAAACATACGTACACGTCACATGGGTTTAGATTAATGCGTAGCAATAATCAAAACATTAATCTAAACTCAACCTTTGTTTAAGTGTTCCTAATCTCGCGGCATGGGGGTATAATTGGAACACTATCAGATTCTAAAACATTTAACACACCTCGAGATTAAGGCTGAAAATTCATATATTAAAAAATCCATGAACTTCATTATTGTCTAGAAAGTCAAAGTTGAAGGAAGAACCCACTAGCTTTACATCAGTCCAATACTTCGCCAAAGATGATCTGAGTTTTAGGCATCATATAAATTTGCCATGGTCACGCATGCAGGTTATATTTCTGATAATGACACTTAGAATAGAAACCATGTGAAATTTGCTTTAAAATAAATCTGAATTTGGACGCATTTGCATTTGCATTATTGCCATAGTCTTCTGAGACCAACTTTATATATATATATATAATTTTATTTATTTTTATAGATACACAAGAAAGCAAAGTTAAGGGTGTGTTTGACAAACAAGGCTCTCTCAGATTATTTTAATTAAGTAGACAATTAGAAAAATAATAATATTTATCGCTGACATTGATACGCTTATGATTCGAATATATTTGCCAAATTGCCAGTGTGGAGTCTTCTGGTAAAGTTAATTGTGGTCCATGGAAAATTATATTCATGGCTTTATACAAGGAAAAAAAAGGGTCACATCGATTGAATTTCTTAATATTATTGTAAGTGGCATTTTGAAAATGTTCTTG